ATCCCGTTGCCGGTCCCGGTCCGGTACGGGTGCGACACTGAGGGTTGTGATCCGTTGCCGGACACGAAAAAAGACAAAAAAAATAAATAAATAAAATAAAATTATTTATATGTCTACAGATTCTTTCATGTGAGAATATCCAAGTACTTAACAATCATGTTAGAAAGTATAATCAAACACAAGCCTCAGGTTTTACAATTCTTTCTTCCAAGAATGATAAAAATTGTCAAATCTCTTTTAAAACACAAACCTAAACATGCACCATTCTGGGGAAGGCTATTATGGCTATCTGATTACAAAAACATATTTTTTTAAATCAATCAAACCCAACAAATAGTTGCTGATCCTTCCTGAAAACCAAACACACAGTAAAGCGATAACCTTGATCAAACTCTACCTTCAAAGTACCAAAACAACAACAAACAAAAACCATGTGCCCACAAAGAAAATGAGCAAAACAACATTTGTTTAAGGACCACTGCCCAAATTCTTTCCTCAAATCAGAATTTTGCATATAGAAAAAAAAAATTGTCAGACACATTTACACTGTCTTGGGTCATGGATGGTATCTTCAGAAATGTAACAGTAAGATTAATCCAAACACACACCCGTCATTTTTCACACTGTCACTTTGACCAAGAACACCACTCCTTACTTGTAAAAATTATTTCACTTACCTCTCAGAACAAAGATGTCTCTTACCTACACCATGGGTGGCTGAATATATGTCTTCCACCCCTTCTGTATCAGAATCTCCTTAACAAGCTTAGTCTACCTCTACTCCCTCTTTTCAACACATTTTTCTTCCTTTTTTCCTTATGGTCAGTGGCCCAGTACAAAGTCAGTCATACCTGTATTTTATTCACTTTAGAAATGTCCAGGACCTAACAGTGTATTTCACCCATTAGATGTATATAATAAATGTTTGTTGAATGAATGGAGATACAATAACAGGGACAAGTCATGGGTACATCGAGAAGAACAACACTGTTGAGGACCCAGAGACTAACTGTTCAGTCTATGCTTGGCAGGCATTGCTAACTGCTACAGTACCTTAGCTGAGTTCTGTAAATTCTATAACCCCTCTTCATTCTTCAGGAATCACCCCAGCTGCTTCAAACCTTCCGTTCAAGGTATCAAAGTATACATCACTGCCTTAATGGTCTAAAATACAAAAGTTATCTGACAATTTTTCAGGACTAAACATCTGAAGAATAAATGACTAAGATGATCTATTACCCTCTTACACACTTACACACATACACAGAGAGAGAGAAAGCCTGATTCATTTTTCATTCAGAGAGAATTCTTCAGTGACCTTCTAAACAAATATATCTTTTATTCTTGAAACATACCCTACAGGAGGAAAAAAAAAAATTGCCCTTGACATTTCCTAAAAGATACGATTCAGAAGATATTGTCAGCTTTTTTCTGTAGACATATGTTGCCCAGTGGGATACGACACTCTTTAGAGGTCTGATTCATGAAAAAAATATAGAGGGGATAAGTTCAGAGCAGTTATGTACCAAACTAGTATGCTAAAACATATTTGCAAAATGAGGGCAAAAAACTCCAGCTCCAGCATCTCTAGTTTAGTTTCTGGACATACACCTTCTACTTGGTTACCAAGGGCTCTAAGTGAGCATGTACCCTAGAATATCTCAGGTCTGAGATCATTTAACATTCAGGGAAAATACACATACACACAAATACTGCGCATATTCAAGCAGTTGACTTCTGCTTAAAAAATTTTTAAATTACCTTTGGAAAGCACCAGTTAGTGTTCAACACTGCTCTGAGTGAAACAAATGGACATGGTTCAAATACAACCATGGATCAAATTATGACTCTTGTTCTAAAGGTATCTTTATCTCCAATGAAATCGCTTAAATTACATTCCACTTATAATTCCAAAACTTAAGGCTCCTTTTCTATCAAACCTCGACACCAAATTTAAAATATTTTGATAGCTATACCTAAAATCATATGACAGACAATTCTATTACAACTTGGTACATGGAGATCAATTAGAACTGAGTTGACGAACTTGCAAGTTACTATTTAAATGCACAGGTTGTTGGTCAAGTTTAGAAATGAAAAAATCTATTACTAACACACCTCCTTACTGGCTCCACCTCATTGCCAGCCCTTTTGTAAAAAGTGAAGAATTCATATTTGTTTTAAATAGCTGATTATTGTTCCCTAGTTAGTTTTTCACCGTAAGATCTCCTAGTAAACAGTGAACACCCTTCTCTATACAACTTAAAAAAGCCAACACGATTTTATGACAAAATTAGAAGGCTTGTGCATTACAATCCTCTGGTAAGAGTATGTGTCTTAAAAATTAAAGAAAACTTTTTTAAAAATTGCTCTCACTGACACACTAAACTTCTAAGTAAAGGAAAGAGAAAGAAGAGAAAAAGAGAAGAAATGAGGAGAAAAATGCACACATATACATATAACGCACACAAAAGTATTTCCTACCCAACTGGAAAGCGCTCTGTGAAGTTTTCTTTAGCAAGTACAGAGCAGTCACCATCCCCCCCTACAACTTGGTGTTCCCTTGGCTTGTATCCACTCTGCTCATTACCACCCACCGTTTGCAGAATACCTTTCTACAGCCATATGGACCAAGATGATGACTCATCTGTCATCCAGAGTTCCTTTCTCAACCTTTCCACATTCAGTCACCTTTAGCACACTGAACAGGCATGCCCTCTGCACAGCATGTGCCATGTAACATAAGGAGTTTGAAGTTGAACATGGGAACTAGGCATTCCTTACACTCCACACTTTGCCAAATGGATGGATTCCAGAGCTTTAAAGAAAAATCACAACTGAAAAAGTGACCAGATGGGTTTTCAAGGAGAAAGATACAAACTAAATCTTGGGAGACTGACGCACTTTACTAAAAACAGGCTAGTGATGTAAAAGAACTTGAGTTATGCACCCTGAGAGGAAAAGTTATGGCAAAAAAAAGCACTAAAAAAAATTCCATAACTGAAACTGACTTTTCAATTCTGCATGGATAAATATTTTTAAAACTATTTTTGAACCTAACACTTCATGTAATCACCTCCCAAAAATTCAGGACCTGCACACCAGCCATGACAAATAATGACAAACTCATACTATGTAGCACTTACTTTACGGAAGGCACTCTTCTAAACACCTTACATATATTCACTAGCTTCATCCTTACAAACTCTTTTCTAATCCATTTTCCATGAGGAATCAGAGAGGTAAGGGAAACTGCCCAAGGTCACACACACTGGAAATGGCAGAGCAGGGATTCAAATCAGGCAGTCTGGCACCAGGGTCCACACTCTCAACTATTTCACTAACCAACTTTCCAAAGGAGTTGAACATAAATAGTCCTTTCTTGACACATTTTTAAGTTCACAAAAACTATACAAATTCATTTTGCAAGGTTAGAAGCAACTGTAAATTAAAAGAAAACTTAAACTAGAGAAATTACTCTTAGGTGATGGCAAAGCCAAAGTTTTTCAGTCACGGCAAATACTCACATAAAAAGTATTGGGGGGCTTGGGCTGGCCCGTGGCTCACTCGGGAGAGTGCGGTGCTGATAACACCAAGGCCATGGGTTCGGATCCTATATAGGGATGACCGGTTAGCTCACTTGGGAGAGTGTGGTGCTGACAACACCAAATCAAGGGTTAAGATCCTCTTACCAGTCATCTTTAAAAAAAAAAAAAAGTACTGGGGGGCTAACTTTTGCAAATTACATGTGTAAAATGTGGAGGAATTAATGCCTGATAAAGTATAGGGAAAGTGATGATAGCCAGGAAACTTAAAAAGCCCAGAGGGCAGTAAGAGAAAACCCCAGGGCAAAAGTACCAACAGCAGGCAGAACTTTGTCAATTCTCCCTCCTCAATCCATTCTCTCATGAATGATGCCTCCTTTCCACTCACTCCACTGCTATTGCTTAGATTCAGGCCTTCAACAGCCCTTAGTCCAGTTAATCAAACCATGTCTTATTTGGCTTCCAGTCACCACCTTCCTCCCTGCCCCAGCAGGGTCCACCATCTTTGTATAGAATCAAAGGCTATCCACCCCAGGATTTCTCCCACCTCCCTCGGCTTGCAGGCTCAGGAAACTACTAGGCTAGGTCATTCCCCTCTTACACTGCTCACATTGCCCCTCTGCCCGCCCCCCCAAAAAAAAAATCCACCTTCCCAACCTCCATTTATCCACCTAAGGAACATCTATCTATTCATCACTTTTTCCATAAAGTTGTTCCACACACCCCTTTCTCCCACCAATAGAACAGATCATTTTCTCTTTTAAGCCTTTAGGGTACCATACTTAGGGTTCTATTATAGTGTCAGTAATTAGTTTTTTGGACTGCTTTATACAACTAACTCCCCTACTGGGATATAAGCCCCTTAAGAGCAGACACAGTGAATTACTATTTACTAATAATGCTGAAATAAACATCCTTGAAGATGCATCTTTAGGCAGAAATCCTGAATGGAACTGCTGGATCAAAAGTATATATATTGCTATCCTGCTCTCCAAAGGTTGGCCATTTTATACTTGTAAAAATACTTGTTTCTCACACACTCAAATAAGGGATTTTCATGCGTTCTATCTCTGTTTATCTGACAGGTGAAAAATGATAACTCAGTTTAATTTGTGTGGTCTATGGTGAATGAAAGAACCTCTGAGTAAGATGAGTTATACTCAGGATGACTTAGTCATGGAAACAAAAGGTACCATCGACACTGGAAGAATAACAGGAATTCAGTGAAGGTTTGCTTCAAGTCAGAGACTCTCTCGATGGTGGTCTGGAGGCATAGGAATTAAGAGGCTTCACCACAGTGGGTTTCTGTCATGTTGTCAAATCAGAACATTAAATAAATGACAGAAAGTTTAGACAAAAAAGCATTTTCCAATCTGTAAGAAATAAAGGGCATGTGCCGAGGAGAGCATAACCGGCTATTCCCAGAAATCCGGCTTACCCACAGGTCCAACTCACCATCTAGTAACCAGTGCTGGCCGCGCCTGTTCTCCAGCTCCGACAGCATTAGGCGTGTGATCACATGATCTGGAACCAAAAGACCTTTCTCTATGTACTGCTTTGCCATATCACCAACTTCTATTGAAAAAGACAGGAAAAAGAGAAAAACTCAAAAAAACTTCCAAAGGGGAGAAAAAAGTTTTAGAAACTCTTTTCTGACAGTTTTGCCTTCTCTCTCTTTTTCCCTTGTATGGGGGGCAAGTTGCACGCAGATATTTTTAGTTTTTAAAATATCGGCTTCAACAGTGGCACCGTTGTTTATTTAACCCATTTGTCTCCCAAAGAATTGTAAAAGCAAATCTTGAGTATGTGCACATCTGACAGTTTTGCCTTCTCTCTCTTTTTCCCTTGTATGGGGGGCAAGTTGCACATAGATATTTTTAGTTTTTAAAATATCGGCTTCAACAGTGGCACCATTGTTTATTTAACCCATTTGTCTCCCAAAGAATTGTAAAAGCAAATCTTGAGTATGTGCACAGCTAAAAAAAGAAAAGACAAATAGGGCAAGAGAAAATAAGAATAGAAAACAAAGTTGGAGTCAAAAAGGAGTGTGGTACACAGAAGGCTGACACTTCCTAGAGGTGAGCCACAAATTGGGCACTGAGCCTCCCAACAGTTTATGGGAACAAAGAAACATGAACATGGTGTACAGGAGAGTAAAGAAAGCTGAGAAGCACAACCATTCCTTAGAGAAACCAAAGGTGAAAAGTTCCACTGGTCTTCTAAAAAGAATGCTGCATAATACAAACAACAATAGGTTTATTTCTTTTCATGAGCCTCAATATGAGCAGATGGCACGTTGCTGACGCAGTTGTAAAAGCAACTCAGAGTTATTTGTGGAATGCCAGGTTCATAAAAGGATATAAATTTTTTTTAAAAAACACTTGCAGAGAAAAATTGCTTCTATCTTATTTTAAATAATAATTTCTTACGTGTAGAAATTGTGAGTTAGGTTCTGATGAACAAATTATCAGTTTAAATCTGCACATTTTGTAGGAACTAAATGTTTCCTTTTTTCTGTTTTTTTTCTTTTAAACAAAAATGAAGTCCTCTGCTCTCCAGGGAACTGATAATGAACCATTCAGAACCACATTCTTGACAGGCCAATTAAGTTCTTATAAAAACACAAAGCAGAATTAAATTACTGGGGAAAAGCTCAAGAATCATTTTGACCCCATTTTCACCTTGAATTTAGGTAGAGTCCTTACTTCCCCAGACTGAGTCTTTATTCGTAATCCCAACTTAAGCACTGAAATATGGGCTGTGAAGAGCTCCATATCAGATTCAGTAACATGCTGTCAGAAGCAGAACACAAAAGACAGCCATATGCATGAATGTGTCTGAACATGAATGTGAACAGACCACATTCATTCAACAAGTACGTATTGATTGCATATTATATAACAGGTAATATTCTCGTGATGTAACAATAAAAGTTCCAGCTTACTGATATTTAAGCAGTATTACTTTCATTAAGAACAATATCAACCATTAATTGAGTACATACTGTGTCCGAGGCATTGTGCTTTAAGTTTACATGTGTCACTTCATTTCATCCTTGTAAGATCTTTATTTTTAGATAGGAGGTAATACTGGTATTATTTTTATGGCAGCTTTATTGAGACATAATTCATACATCACAATCTTCACCATTTTAAAGTGTACAACTCAGTGGCTTTTAATAAATTCTCAACATTGCGCAACCAACACCACTCCCTCATTTCAGAACATTTTCATCACCCCAGAAAGAAAACTGGTACCCATTAGCAATTACTCCCCCTTCCCTTCTCCCTCCAGCTGCCAGCAATTACTAATCTTTGTCTTATAGATTTGCCTATTGCGGATATTTCCTATAAATGGACTCATACAATATGTGATCTTTTGTGTATAGTTTCTCTCACTTGGCATAATGTTTTCAAGGTTCATTCATGTCACACCACATGTTGGTACTTCATTCCTTTTCGTGGCTGAGTAATATCCCACTGAATGGTTACACCACATTTTGTTTATACACATACATCAGTTAATGCACATTTGGGTTGTTTCTACTTTTTGGCATTTTAAACAATGCTGTAGTGAATGTTCACATACAAGTTTTTGTGTAAACATGTTTTCTGTTTTCTCGGGTAATACTTGTATGGTATCCATGTTCTATGTCTAAACAATCACAGCCAGAGCTTTATTCTTAGTCCCACCAATCAAACTTTAAGGTGGATAGAAATAAATATGTACATTCCAATGTGAAAGACCAACATGTGACCTTTGCATTGTTTTCTAGAACTCCAGATCAATATTATATATTGATGTATTTACTAATGCACTTTCTGCCTCCCCCAACTAGAATATTATTAGCCCAAAGAGAGAAAAATGAAATATTTTGTTCAATGCCATATCCTCAGTGCATTATAGTACACATCCTCAGCTTACATTATAGTCTTGCCCCATTAAAATTTGAATGAATGAACATCCTAAAGATGACAGAGAATTTTTGTTTACCCTGGCAAAAATCAACCTAATGTTCCTAGAGAGTTATTACAGAACCATTATCTCAAGATCAAATACGGCCCAACCTTGCCAGATAGCATCTGTTTCAAAGGAGACATGAGACTAGCCACATGAGATCAGGACTAGCTGAGACAGCCGTGTTAGGTGTCACACAGCCCAGTCTTATTTCTTCAGCATTTCAAAACATGAATAGAGATGAATCAGGTCGGGTAGGGGAAATGAGGAAGAGAAGGCAACACCAGGAACAAATGGTACTGAGGTGTGGGACCATTTGGCAGCCCAGGAGGAATGAACTTCAAGCAGTGACAAGCGAAGAAAAGCACGCCATGAGAGATGGGATTAGCGGGCAAGATAAGGAGTGTGGACTTTGAGCTGGAAGGATTTTTTTTTTAAGTAGGTGATTTTAGAAGTACTATCACCTCCCAGAACCAAGACCAACTACTTAATTTGCGGGGGCCTTGTACAAAATCAAAATATGGGGTCCCTTGTTCAAAAATTAAGAATTTAAAGATGGCAACAGCAGAGCATTAAACTAAGTGAAGGGCCTTGCACTAATGATAAATATACCTATATTAGAAAAAAATCAGTGTTCCACCTATTTTACGATAGTATAAATTTTGTGACAATGCATTTTACTAATGATAAATATACCTATAATAGAAAAAAATCAGTGTTCCACCTATTTTACGATAGTATAAATTTTGTGACAATGCATTTTAATAACCTATTCCATTCAAATGCTACTAAATATAAATTCAAATAGATATAATCTTGGTAACCATAAGAAATATATATCTTCAATTGCTACCCAGATTAGATAATATACACTTTTTCAGAATTTAAGACTATCTATTAAGATGTCATCCCTCCAGAATTCATGCTTCCAGGATATGGAAAAGATATTTTATTAGCCTCAATTCCTTCACATTAAAGCTGCCCGTGTTCACATTAACAGACTGAAATAGATCGTTGTATTCAGGGCAGCAAATATGCCAAAGCACTATCAACTGCTGAAGAAGTAGAATGTTGGACCCATATTGTGAATCATCTTAAGTCTGGTTAAAAAGAAAATCCAATAAGCAGATGACATTTCTTTAGAAAAACCATGAGAACAAATAAATACATACACACACACACACACACATTTAGATAGCATAAAGTCTGTCCTACAGCCAGCCTAACCACTCAGGACAGTCAGCTCAAACTCACTGCAGAGACTGAATGACTTCCAAATAGAAATTAATCCATAAAGATCCAAAATGTCAAAGACTGATTACTGTCATGAAATGGGGGGGAGGGGAATAGAGAATATGCAGTGTGGTTGGTTTCATGTTTAAATACTCTCTGAATCCACTAAATACTAAATCAGCTGATATTTATTAAGCACCTACCTTGTGCTGGGCCCTATGCCAAGCTGGTATGAGGCCTGTCTCAGAGCTCAGAGCCTAAACACTGAATTGGGTGCTAACCCACCAAAAGCTTTCAAAAGTAAAATTTTACGGAATTTTACTGTTTCAGAAAAATTAAAGTCAGTAGTTATCACGATTAAGTTATAGAGTCTCTTACACTGCCAATAAAGCTCCATGTAAATATATTATGAAACAGGAATAGGTTACTGATCACAAACTAAATGAAAATGTTCAGTCAAATGATGAGTCTGCCAGCTAATTCACCTCTGATCACTGAAGAGTTATCCCTAAAATACTAGTACAGAGTTACAGAAAGCCAACCAGGTGGCCCTTGGTCTCCTGACACAGGAGACAAAAAGATTATTTTCATAAAGATGACGATTAATACCTCAAGATAATCAACTTTAGTCAGATAAAATCGACCAATTAGAATAGAAGTGTCGGGCTGGCCCGGTGGCGCACTGGATAAGTGCGCCGCTTGGGAAGTGCGGCGGCGCTCCCGCCCGAGGGTTCGGATCCCACATACAGACCGGTTCCCGCTCACTGGCTGAGCGAGGCGCGGGAGCAACACCGAGGGTTGCAATCCCGTTGCCGGACACGGAAAAAGATAAAAGACAAAAAAAAAAAAAAAAGAAAGAATAGAAGTGTCTTGGGATCAAACCTTAACTACTATTAATACATTAAGAAAAGGCAAGTGAGGGCTTTTTATTTCATTTGAATGTTCGTCTTCTCTCTCCCTTTGTCATATGCTTTTTTCGATAACTAATCCAGGAAGTGCCAGAGTAAAGACAATAACAACAAGTGTGCTTTGCAGCATAGGCAAGGAAAACTACACATCAGAAATCAGCTGTGCAAAGGCCCTGCCAGCACCCATTTCACTCCTAGATCACTGCCTCTATTTTAAAATCACTCCAATTACTCAGAACCACAAGTAAAAATTCTCTGAACACACCACTTTACCAACCAAAGTTTTCTGCATATCTACTGTGTACCAGGCAACAGGCAAGGCACTACATACCAATGTAAGAGTACCCTTAAGAAGCTCACTAATGAGAAGTCAAACAGACCATGAACAAATAATTATTTTTTAAAGTGTATGCTAAGTGAAATAGACAGTCACAAAAAGACAAATACTATTATATGATTCCACTTATATGAAGCATC